TCTAGTGAATGTGAATTTATTTTTTCACCTCAAATCATGGGATGTGAAGGAAGGGGATGAGTAAGAGATTCTTGTCAATAAGGCAGAGACTGAAGGATGATCATACATGGGCAGGGGGAGAAGAATTGGAGAGCATTCCAGGTAGGCAGAGTGATTTGGATAAAGCACAGAGGTCGGAAGGGCAACATGGTCAGGGAACTCTCCATCCCATCTTGGCTTGAGCAAAGAGTATGAAGAGTGACTAGTTCTTTTTCAGGAGACCTCAGATAAGCTTGGTGACCACCATTCTTCATACTGATAAATAAGGCTAAGTTGACTCTCATGCATTTATGGGCTTAAAACATCAAATAGATTAATAAGAGTAACAAGGTGGTTGGGGTAGAAGAATGGGTGGCAATTCTAGTTTTTTTCAAAGGAGAATATGAAAATATTGTAATATCACAAGTCAGAACTCAATATATTGAGAGTAAATTGGTTTAGACATTACCTGTCTTTGAAAAATTCCACAATGAAAACTCTATATGAACATTAGTACAATAACTAGATATGGAATCCCCCAAAAGTGAGCTTAGGAATTCTGGTGTTTTAAGAAACTTGGAAAGAATATAATTTATATATGCAGTAATCCATCTATATTAGAGCTGAAGCCTCTCCCAAAATAATTGTGCACATGTGCTTCTTTGGGAACATGAAACTCAAAAAGTCCAATTTTATAACTAAAGAACAGTGTTAGCTCTTTCTTAATGAGAAACAATTTCCTTCGGACTAGCCCATCTTCTCCCAGTTTCTAACACTGGCTCCCTGGGAAGAATAAATCCCAGCCCAATGGCAAGACCTGCTGACACTGATTGACTGGGGCAATGTCAGATGTTGATAAGTCATCTGTCTGAATGGTATTAAAGTAGAATAAAACAAGATAGTAAAGTATTAAACTCATACATAAGTGAGGGGTGGTATCTGATCAGAAAGGTGTCTTGGGTATATTTTCTGATGATTTGCAGATGAGATACAGTTAATCCTACTATTTTTAGACAATAACAAAACATACATACAGTAAATCTAGTCAGCCAAGGGAAGAGGCTAGCAATCTGTTGCTTGGCACCTA